ACATGTGAAATGTACCATGGATTGTGCTCTTTTTCTTGCTTTCTTTTTCTAGTTTTCATCAATTAATTTTTTGGTCATTACCTTTATCTTTTTGGTTTTTCACCTGTATTGTAGACATGTGAAAAGGTACGATATTGAGTCATATGAATAATAGTGTAAAGTTATAAATTAATAGCCTTGAGATCGTATAAATTCTGTTAATTAAAAGAGGTACTATTCAAAAAATTAATTATTTACTTATTTATAGAGTATATTTACAATTAAACAAACATATAATTAATCAACTAAAATTCATTTTATTTTACCAATATAATCAATTGAATATAAATTAATCCACTAAATATACATTAAATTAATCATAAGTAACTAATATTTGTTGTAATTAATTAAATGTATTCAACAATGAGATTGAAAATAATCTTTGTATAAATAAATACAAAGTCTTCTTATATAAACGAATACGAAGTCTTCTTATATTTCATAGTTACAATAACTTTGAAGCTTGTGATAAACTATATTTAAATTTCAAGAAAAAACTATTGCTACTTATATTTTAATAAATATCATAGTCAATATATTTATAATTTTTAACAAGTGAGGACCGTAAAAATTATTGTATAATAGAGATAATTATATATCGAGTAATAATTTATAGAGTTTATATGGTATGGTTGAGCTAGTGCATTTAAAAGTTTATGCAACAATTGACTTCTTGAATATTTTACATAAAGAAAGACAAAGTTTGTGTTCAATCATAAATGTTTAAACTTGTTATGAAAGGAAAAATATGTTGATTTTTAGTTATATCGGCAACATGTACCGTGGACATTATTTTCAGCAAATTTATTGTAAATTCTACAGCAGAATGTCCTGTAATTTCATTCTCGAGTTTTTCGTAAATACCTTTTAGAAGACAAATGGAACTATATATATATTTAGAACATCTTACATTCTAAGTTTTTACATCTCATATTTCATTTACTAACTAGGTTTTAAAAAAATTAATCCATAAACTGGCACTCGCAGTTCACAAGATCAAATGCTTGTACCTGGTGATTGTTTGAAAACTCAAAAGTGAATAGGATCGCGATCAAGTAATATAGCAGTATGTAAAATGTCAAACTCATGAGAACTACGTGTTTTATCGAGTTAAAGTTAATAATACTCTTAATCGAATAACAATAATGATTTGTAATAATTATAAAGTCTAATTTATTACGTACTAGAAATTAAAGTAAAATTTTATCAAATTTTTTAGATGCATTGCTAAAATGTTGAATTCTCTTTGTTAATCCATTTTTAGTATAACAATTAAAACGACTCTCTGTTATCATGCGAGTTGGTCGAAATTCCAAATTTATTTAAAAGCTTCTCTCAATAACAATTAAATCTAATCATATATGTGCCCTTTCTATATTTCTATAAAAGATACCAACATAAAAGAAAGCATTAAACAAGCTAGAACATCTAAAAAAAACTATGCGAAGTATAGATCTCTATCCTCTATCGAACCTCACAATGCTTATTACTACATGCTAGCGATCATATTATCTCTCTCGATGACAATAAAATCCACAAACAATTCAATTAATGGCCAATTAATTGAAAAACATATTAAACCATAATAAACATCCAAACATTCCAATAAATTAACGTCAAATATCGTTATTTTAGGTCCCGAATAATTGTAAAAAATTACACTTATCACCTGGTGTTAAAAAAAAAAAAAAAAGGATATACACATCTTTCTAAAATGGTTTAACTTTTAAATATGATGGTCCAACATTTTATTAAAGCAAATTATGAAAGATTCCAGTTCAATTTAAATAAAAATGCATATCCCTCCACATGAATGATTATGTTTAAGATTAAATTTAAGCAACTGCTCGTACTATACATTTGACAAATGCATGTTGCTAAATGCCCGATTGTAGTCTTATACAACTAAGGTTTATACCTCACAGAGATTCTGAACCTATGAAGCTTATCAAAAGCCACCTTAAAAGATGTTCAATATTATAATTTCCTTTTTAGATAAAAAAATAATGAAATTAGGAAAACAATTCTTTTCTTGCCAGGGTCTTACTTTCTGACGTGGCAACCTGGAATTTGATTGGTCCTAAACTGAAACTTTTTACATGCTTGCTTTTGGTTTGCCCTATTCTTTCGCTGCTTTTCCCATTTTTCTGCCTACAACAAGGACCAATAATTTGTTGAGTTAGATATAAATAATTTAATTTAACTAAAAAGAAATGTCAAATGTACTTATTATCAATTTTTAAATAACATTAAAATATTCATCAGTTTTGCGGTTTGATGAGAAAAATTACAATGTTGAGCCCAATCCCAAGTATGAATTTTGTTAGAAGCCTATATGTCGCCAACGAAAGAGGAAAATTGACGCAGGGCAGAATAACGATTATTCTGCAGACTGATTTCAGCAGATAATTCACAGGGAAGAATACACGAGAAAACGTCAAGAAAAACAAGAGAATTATTTATTATTTCATTCACCACCTGAAAACAATCCACAAATCGGGTTATATAGCTAAAAAATCGTAATTATTGAAATTTTATCAAAAATAGCAAAATTTCAATAGTCATACCAAAAGAGACTACATAATAAAAGAAATGATATTTCAAAAATCAGGCTCAAATCGAGTTCATAATCTCTTTTAAAAAGACAAACGAAATATTACGAAAAAGGAAAAAATAACTAAAATTGGAGATTCTGAAAGGGAAAATAAAGAATTTTGCCCTCGAAATCGATCCGCACCGAGTGAAGCCGGTGACCATGACGTACGCGCCGAAAAGAGCTTTCCGAATTGGGGTCAAATGCGCGATTCTGATAACCGTAACCAAAGTTATGGCCAAAATAACAAAACGTGTTCAAAAAATGTCCCAATGAAGAAAAGATTTCAATTACTTGCCATTTTTGCGCTGATCTGCCAACTCATGGCACCTCAACGCCTTCAACGAGTTATCAAACAACTCAACATTATCATATTTGGATCCTCCTGCATCAAATATGATTTACATTTATAAAAACTGTATAACTACATGGCTAAATTTTATTTTTTGTAATTATAAGGGATCATTTAGGCACTGGTAATTGTTCTACACAGTGCCTTTTTAATGTATAGTATAATAGCAAATTCTCATTATCGACTGTTTGTGGAACATTTGCATATCAATTACTTAATAGAAAAATGAGTTCGTTCAACGCATGAGAGACCTCTTGAAGATTTAAGGCTACAGTAATATATAAAAAATAAAAATAAAAACCTGTGAATAGGTCTATTAATTGTGCCATTGATATATATTACTAACAAATCTACAGTAACTTTGCCAATCAATTTTAAATTATAGCTGCTCAAAAGTTTATATAAATCTAGTTCGAAAAGATAAACAAATTAAGTCTAACTTTTCATTATAATATCTAACTGACTATATAAAGAATTGTAATTAAATCCATGTTGATTATTCCTTGTATTATTGCAGCCAAAGAATATATAATATAATTGGCAGCAAAGATGAAATTGTCGACCATTTCACGAGGAAGATAAAGGAATATTTCAGTATTCCCTGAATTAATTAAATACTAAGACCAAAAAGTTGATACTGCACGCGAAGCTAATGTACGACAAATGAATATATATAAAATTTTGCCAATTTTTTATTTTTCTCTCTACCTTTTCATGTTAATTAGGTAGCACCAATGATTTAAGGTTACAACAATCTTATGTTTAAGGATTATCTCACCTATCACCTGTCAAAATCGAGTTTGTATCTTGTCATTCCTTTTCAATGTATATATTGAGTTACAGAAACACCTAGAAAATAACCTTTATTAATATTTATAAATTCAAGCTTATAGATCATACTAGCTCCGTCGGAACAGTTATCGATACATGTGACCATGTTAAAAAGTATGCCCTAATAAATAATATTTACCTAGCTTAGACAAATATAAATAAGGATAAAACTAAGTTTACGGACACTTTTTTTCACAGAATTTTTATAGGTGTTGTGTGTACTACTATAGACATTTTCTTCTTATCCTTCTATCTTTTTATCTTTCATTTTTTCTTATAAATCAAATTATATTCACATTGTATGTGTCAAAAGTTTCATTCCATAGGAGATGAAAATTTTCAGCCAATCCCACCTGATTTAAAAAAAAAAGAAAGAAATTCTCACCTTTTGGATGTTGGTTAAGAGTTTCTGCAAATTTCACATATCTTTAATTGCAAAATTACCAAAAGTTTATAGTTTTGTGTTTATTACTAATTTTCTAAATAGATAAGAGAAATGGGGACTCGTGAGTACTATTTTATACACTTAAGAAATAGCCAGAAAACTACTCCTATTTCTAAATTACTACCGAAAGTTCTAATAGAGAAACATAGATTCTAATTTTGTAAACAGAGAAAGAAAAAGAAAAAGTATGTGATGTGGTACTAATTATTCAACAACTCTCGACTACCTCGTCTAAACGTAATAAAGCTATCAATTTTTATATTTTCAACATGTTCTCTCATGTGGAGAACTTAGCCATGCTGATATTTACCTGAAAGTTTAAAATGTTAGGTAGGAAACGAGGTATATATAATTGAAGTTGTAGAGATGATGCATAAAAACTGCATGAGTCCCACAGCCCAATGCATTCATCTTGTGGTCTTCCTTGTTCCTAGCAATTCTTTCAAATTACATGGCTGAGTGATTTTCCTCAGTATCAGTGGATTATACAGGTTTAAAATTTAAATATATTAAGGTTCCAAGTTTTTATTTATTTATTCTATCTGTTACGAGTCTTATGACACAGTGTGCGTATAAGCAAGTGGGTGCGCTTTATGATAATAAATACACACGTAAAGACAGTGTAAAAATTATTATAGCATGAGTCTGCCTTTCCAGTTCACTCTCATACTCTGGTTATGTTTTCTTTTGTTCTTAGCTCTCTCTCCATTTTCTCTGTCTCAGTGAAACAGCCATGAAAAATGAGTGAATCTCGAGAAATTGAACTTCATACCATTGATTGTGAAGAGGAAGATATAATTACGACCGCAGTTGATGATGGAAGCAACAATGAAACAAGAAATGAATCAGCAGAAGATAAACCCTTTCAACAATTTTTCCGAAGGGTGCCTGCAAATCAGGTACGAACTTCGGCCGTGTCTCTCTTGCGGACGAGCGCGCACACATAAAAACGCATGCAAGAAGATTACTCTCTCTACTTGTTAAAATTATTTTCACATCGCGTTTCCGGTTTCCAAAGTTTCATGAACCCTTAATATTCAATATTCTTCTATACTATACAATCCCTTTTGTATTGTAAAAATCATGCTTTTTATGCTTTTGTAAGAATTAAATCATACTTTTGGCCCTGTATGCAAAGCTTTTGTGAGATTATAAGTTGCTTAAACTTCATTTATATAGTTTATTAGATTCACGTACTTATTCACCTTTTAACAACACATTTTTAAAATCCACCAACTTGTAATATCAAAAGACTTAGGTCATATAATTTGATTGTCTAGTATTCTAATCAAAAACCCATTTCAAGAAATTTGAAACCCAGATTAAAATCAGTTAACTTCTATGAAAAAACCCTTGGGGGTTTTACTCCGATTCATTATAAAAGAAAAGAAAAAATATAAAATCCCTTCAACAACCTTTGAGGTGCCCGTACAGTTTATTAAATACTAATATATACATTAAATTAACCTTTCCGAAAAGCTATTTGAGTGATATCATTGTAAATTGCGGTGTATCTTACAATCCTGTCACGCATGATCATAAACAATTGTAAAACAAAGTTGTGATTTAATTTTACACGTGAAGTATCTGATTGGCTTGACGTCAGACCAAACACACGGACAAAGTCTACACATGGTAGCCAGATCATGAGGGAAAATTTTTATCTTAACTTTTTCTTTGAATTTTTTTATTTTTTTTACTGATATAAGAGAATTCATGTGCTCAATGGATCAGAACCATTTTCTCCAATTTTGGTCAATTTTCTTTTCATATTAGTCCCTTTCTTGCTCGTAAAATTTGTGCATGAATCTTTAACACCCGACCAAGAAACTCTGGTTGAGTTTCATTCTATTTTGTTAAAAAGTCACCTTTTAATATTTATAGTTAAAAATTAATTTTAACCACGAAATAATCAATAAATAAAATTTTAGCAAAATCAAACGAATCTCAAAAAGAGCCTATATCTTGTGTACGGACTCCACGACAAGACCATTTCCTCCCATCATTTTATAAGCACGCACATGCACATGCACATGCACGTGCATGCATTGTTGGAAAATTATTCCAATGTTTGTGGAAATTATTTTATGGCGGAATTAATGAATATCAATATTGCAGGTAGTTGAAGAGCTATTTCTATTGGGGAAAATTGCATGTCCTATGGCACTAACAACAATGCTTTATTATTCAAAAACTATAATTTCAATGCTTTTCTTGGGCCATATGGAGAAACCTGAATTGGCTGGTGGCTCTTTAGCAGTAGGGTTTGCAAATATTACAGGATATTCAGTAATGAAAGGCCTTTGCACAGGAATGGATCCCATCTGTTGCCAAGCATTTGGGGCTAGAAGATGGTCTATTCTTAGCCAAACTTATATGAAAACTGTCCTCCTCCTCCTCCTTGCATCCATCCCTGTGGCGGTCCTATGGTTAAACGGCGAACTAGTTTTCCAACGCCTCGGTCAGGATCGAGTCATAAGCAAAATAGCCAAAAATTACTTGATTTTTAACCTTCCTGAACTATTAGCACATGCTTTTCTTGTTCCTCTTAGGACATTTTTAAGGACTCAGGGGTTGAATTCGCCGAATACTATGGTGGCTGCTTGTGTTTCAATCTTGCACCTGCCTATTACATATTTTCTTGTAACATATATGAATTTAAGAGTTAAAGGTCTTGCCATGGCTTCTGTTATATATTCCATTAACAATAATATGGGATTATTCATTTACTTGTTTTTCTCAAAAGAGGCTATAAGACCTTGGGCTGGTGCAACACTGGCCTCGATTTTCCGCGGATGGGGGCCATTGTTGGGACTAGCACTGCCAAGTGTAGTTCAAGTATGTCTCGAATGGTGGTGGTACGAAATTATTCTCTTCCTCAGTGGATTATTAAACAATCCAGAATCATGCGTAGCAGCCATGGGAGTCTTGATTCAAACAACAGGAACAGTTTATGTTTTTCCATTTGCAATCAGTTTGAGTATATCTCAACGCGTTGGCCATGCCTTGGGTGCCGGAGAGCCTGCTCGCGCACAATTAGCCACCATTATTGGAATCTTTTTAGGACTGTGTTATGGGATTTCAGCCTTTGGTTTGAGTATAGCCCTCAAGAATTGGTGGGGAAAATTGTACACAAGTGACCCTCAAGTTCTTGCTCTAATCTCAGCAGCCCTTCCAATTCTGGGATTGGCTGAAATTGGAAATGCTCCCCAGACAGCTGCCTGCGGTGCCCTTACAGGTATCCAACAACCTCATTTAAAAGCTTAAATTTTCATTCCACATGACGATGCTTGTACCACATATCTTATTGTACGAAAACTTCAATTAAAAGCTTGGTTGTTACAAATCGAGACAAAACTATTCATTTAAATTACATGTTGCACGGCAGGTTCTGCACAGCCTAAAATCGGGGTACGGATAAACCTTGCAGCATTTTACCTGGTGGGATTGCCATCTTCAGCTCTATTTGCGTTCAAATTGAAAATTGGATTTCAGGGACTATGGTTGGGATTAGTGGCAGCTCAAGTTTCATGCTTAATCATGATGTTGTTTACTTTAGCTCAAACAGATTGGAAACAACAGGCTAAGAGGGCTGAGGAGCTGACAATGGTTGCTGAGGAAAAGGATGAAGATGCAGGAACCAATCTTGTCCCTTGATCTTTTTCTCTTAAGGGTTAATATATATAAAGTGTAAATCATTTTTGTTAAGAAAATTGCAGATCTATTAATTGTTCGTAGCAGCAGGTAAAAAAAAAAAAGGTTGGTTAAAGTTCATTGATTATTTGATTAACTTGAATTCATGGGGTTAGGAGTAGAATTTTCTTTCTTTATTATTATTTTTTTTTGGTTACATGCGATGTTACTAAAAGTTTAGATTTTTATTTTATTTTATTTTTTAAATGGATTTTGAGTCGGTTTTGATACTAGCTAGTAATTCTTTCTGTATTAACTTGTTTGATATTGGATTAACGATTGATTATTGTGTGAATATTGTTCAACCCAGCTAAATTCGAGATATGAGAGATTTGTCTTGGTAAAGCTATAATTTGGTGGATAACACTGTCACAAATATATTTTGCATTATTAGAATGATTGTGGAGTCGAACTGTAATTATTTTATCGGATAACGTTCAATGAGAAAAAGGTTAAACCTTTCTTGACATTCGACTCACATCAGTTGAGTGACTTGATCCATTGACTTAAAGGAGTGATATTCACTACTAGAATGTAGATGACAATCGACGAAAATTTGCCGATGGCCATTTCCTATTGTTTGTGAAATTCCGCAAGTATATAGATTGTGACAAGTAATAAAGTGGATTTATCAAATTCGAATATTGTCCCACAGAGACTACTATCTACTATAAATTTTTAAACTAACCTAACTTCAATTTAAATTAAATTGGTAACTAATGATCAAATCAAATTGTGTTTTCTAAACGAAGTTCTAATAAATAAAATAACAAACTACTAAGTAAAATAACAAAAACCGTAGATAAGATTACGTGATTGGATAGTTAGGATTTTCGATTACACTTAGGTTATTTATCATACATTTAATTCCAATTTATTCAACAATCTCTTCACACCTTTTAACGATCGAATTAACCTATTCTATTTAGTGATCTCTCTTGAGCAATATTAATCTTATTCATATGTTCGAACTTACTATATCTCTATGTAAATTCACAGACATATGAACACATTTATCTATAGGAACTCAACATCGATCGCATAGTTTATAATTATCTTTCGATATCTTATAATGTCTATGTCAATAATTGCACGAGCTAGAATTATATATCAGTGATGAATTGTCCAAGTGACAAATCATTTTCATCAATCTGAATATCGTCCCACAGAGACTATTATCTACTATAAATTTTTATACTAACATAACTTCAATTTAAATTAAAATAGTAACTAATGATCAAATCAAATTTTGTTTTTAAACCAAAGTTTTAGTAAATTAAATAACAAACTCAAATTAAAACTATAGATAAGACTATGTGATTAGGTAATTAGATTTTTCGATTTCACTTAAATTATATAACATACATCTAATTCCAATTCATTCAGTTATCTTTTCATACGTGCTAACAATTGAATTAACATATTGTAGCTAGTGATTTCTCTCTAGCAACACCAATCATATTCATATGCACGAACTTATTATATCTCTATATAAATTCACGCATATATGAACGCATTAATTTGTAGGAATTCAACATGTATCGCAAAACCTATAATTATCTCTCGATCTCTTATAATGTCTATGTTAATTATTACATGAGTTAAAATTATCCATTATCTCTCGGTCTCAATATTATCCTTAAATCAATCAATTGTTGCACATACAATTGAAGCATTAAACACACAATAATTAAATTAACAGGTATTTAAGTGGCATAAAAATCTTGAAATTAAACATATAATAAGAACCTTAAACTATATCATCATCTTAACAATAAAAATATTTAGACACTCATAACGTTGAAATTAAACACGCGAAAGTGGAACGATATCACCAAAAATTGACGAAACGGGAAGTTGCTCATGTGTGCAGTCTCCTTTTGTTTATCTACTGGCTATATATATATGTGTGTATCTCCAAAAATCAGTTGCCAATTCCCTCTCCTTTTCTGCCTCAAGCTGCCGGTTGCCTCTTTTTCTCTGCGTGTGCGTATATTTTTCAATTTCAACATCTATCCTCCACTTTCTGTGCATGTATATGCGTGCAACCACAACCCATATATGCGTGCAACCACAATCTGTGTATTTCTCTCCTCAAACTGCCACTTTTTTGCTGAATGTGTATCCAATTTCTCTTCTTCAATCGCCTTCTTTGCGTGTATATATATAAATCAATTGCTGCCCATGTTTTTCCTTTTTTTTTTTTGGTATATATATATATATATATACAGAAGTGATCTAATGAGCACCGGTGCTCATCTTATCCTGAGCACCAATGAGTTGGCACATTAATTCATTGGTGGATAATGAGCACCGGTGCTCATCTTATCCTGAGCACCAATGAGTTGGCACATTAATTCATTGGTGGATTGGAACTCACAAAATCTTTATCCACCAATGAATTAATGTGCCAACTCAT